TTGTAGTTCATAAGTGAAAATATTATCAATTCTACTAGATATTATGTCATCTTATTTCAGCTAAGAAAAAATTTACCTTTTATTTCTACGCTTATCAGTTTCAACTTTCTACAGCTTTACAATATAATCAAAGTCTCATCTACTAGAGCAATTCATCTAACCACAATAAATTTGCAAAAAATAAAATACTGTGTCCTATATAACTGTAAGAAAAAAAAATAGATGAGTTTAGGGATTTCTAATTAATTGCATAATTAATCATGTATGATAAATTTTATTCACAAGCCATAAGGATGACAAAATTTTATTACATAAGACTATAGTATGCTGTTCATAAACGGATTTTCATTTAATTAATCAAGCACTGACGCTCAACTAGAAAAAAAATGTGTCCAAATGCTTTCTGTTGAAATTATAATAAAAACATACATATACTACTTTTTTTATATCAGTACACCATTTCACTTTGAAAAATTAATCAACGAATCTGTTTAAAGAAATCGATTTTATTTTGTAAAACCGACTAAATTGGACAAATTTGGCCATTTCTCTTGATTTCGCCACTTGGTAAGGACATACAGGTGTTTTACAAGTTTTACATATATCTCAATCAATTAGTGATCTTATTTTCCCATAGGATATAAATTCTTCAACCAGCTAAGTAAAAATTTGTCGAAGTCAAAGTTTGGGACAATTTGAGTAGACGAAACTCAAACTATGATGAAAAATTTTATCTTTCAAATAACTTCTGGATTTACCAGCATATTTATCTTACATGAAATAGGGTTTAAACTTACAACATCTCATAAACATTAAAATGTCATAAAATGTAGTTCATTAGTAAGTACTCGGAATTTACGGAAAGTGAGCTGGTGATCAACTTGAAAAATATTTTATGAATCATTTTCCACATGCGCTGAATATGAAATGATGTTTCGATTTGTTTACAATTTTCCATTATTTATTATATCACTTAGTTCTCATTATGTTAACAACTAAAAAATCTGAAGAATGTTTTGAAACTGAATGGGAATCGGGTTGACTTAACCATGCCAGTCATTTTTTATTTTATATTTTCACATGTTTTATGGTGAATTTTGATCAAGAATAAATGATTCTTGGGAATGAATATATTATTTCCTAGCAGATTTAATAAACTGATGCAATACTCATATCGGAGGTGGCCAAACGGGAAAGTCATTCGATGTCCAGCAAAAATACTTTAAAAGATGAATGCACATGAGTGATCGAGAAATGCGTTCGTTTTCTAAGGGGGAAAAATGTATACACATAATTGAGTATTTGTGTATATGATTCAGTAGACAAAAAGATTTCCTCTTACACTCTTACCATCTTGATCATCTAGTCAGGCAGAATATTTAAGTATGTATAGTGTAACACTGTACTCATTAAACCAAGTATCCTTGTGTTGGACAAGGCAGTGAATCTAACACTGCGATAAATTTATCTGTTTCCAACCCACCCAAGTTTGAGGAGCCACCTTAAGTCAACTTTAAAGTTATTTTTTAAGACATATTTACTGTTATGTGTATCAGGGTGGACTCCTGCATTCTAACCATATATATGTAAAAACTCTGTGACATAGAATTATGATAATGTTGTACATCTGATAATTTAGATTCTCCAAACTCTTTCAACTGATTAGCTGCTTCGATTTCTGAAAGATATATATATTTTCCTCTTAGATGTATCCCAGAATCCTTCTTAAATGCTTGTCTTCTCAATCGCTGAACATATAACATACATCGGATAAATGTAGTTTAGCTCAATGAATCCTATACCATCTCCCGACTTATGGTCTTCCAGAGCTAACAGAAAAGTATTTTGTATTGAAAAACTGTTAATGGAATAAATATCAAATTTATTTGCCCCAACTGTCATCTGGATCACTTGAATGGTTTTGATAACAAAATGTTATAACGATATGATTTCTATTGTTTAGTATGTATTACGCTTGTTAGGCTTAGCAATGAAAGTGGGATATGATAACTCTTTTCATCCTTATCTTTATTTCTTTAGAGCGTGAAATGAAATATTTTCTGCAACGGTAAACATGATGTTATAATTAATGCCAAGTGAAAGTCACAATGTGCATGATGGTAGATATTTCACATATTACACTGGATATAACCTAAATAGACGAATCAATGAATCGTTCACAAAAACATATTAATTATAGTAACTAAATTCCAGTAAGAAATGAGGAAATCGAACTTCTATGAGCACTATCAAAAAGGAACGTTGTCCATAAAATGTAATTGATAAGTTACCATCATGGGAATATTAAATTATGTAAGATTACGAAAGTAACTTTCTTGCCGTACCTTCAAAAGTAATAAGACTCTTGTTGTTAGTCGACCCTAACACATATTTCTGAATTTCTAGCCTTTGAGCTTCATATTATGCCTACTTTCCTTTTCACACATAAGTCGCTTATGGGTTACAATTAAATGAATACTTTCTTAGAGTTCAAACTACTGGTCACTAACAAGAGAATCGTTTGTTTGGACAAATCGACACAATTTATTAACATAATATTAAGAAAAACCCGATCAAAATTGGTTCATAATGTAAATAGTTGTAAGATATGGATTTTTTATAGGCTTCTCACTAGTCTATGAAGCCATGATCGATTTATTACATTTAATTCTCTTCATTCGACTATACCACCTGATCCAAAACTTACATCATATCATTGGTGATTAAGGATTCAGTCACAAGTATGATTTACATTTGAAAGTATGCGACTTCAGAGTTTGATAGCTAGGTAGTTACAGTTTCAGTTAGTTGCTCTAGTGTTTTGCATGTATTTAGCCTAATAGTCAGATAAAGTTATTTTAGACGTGAATACTTTTGGTTTATTTGTAATAGTATAGACTCTCTACTCATAAGATTCAGATAACCTGATGTTTCAAAATTTGAAATTAAAGTGTTAAATGAAAATGTTTCGTCACCATATTACACAAATGGTCACTTCCAGTTTTGATTACAATTGCAGTAATGAATCTTAATAATGTACTTATTTATTTTGACAAAATGAAACAGGTGTTTATAATCATGTAAATTGCTAACGAAAAAACTAACGCATTGTTACATTCAATATACATTATATATTCATTAACTCAATGCTAAAATTCCTTCTTGCTGCGCAAGTCAACTGGACACAGTAATACACTAGACTGTGTTGTTGGTGCTTGAAAAGCAATATACTACGTTTACGTCTCAGTTTGACTATCAAAACACTATCGATGAGTCCTAGATAGTGCGGGACGCTCGTTTTGAGTTCCTTTCCTAGCCACTAAAATAAAACGATGGTACTATCAAAGAGGGATGCTTCAGATTCACCTCTTCAAAGAAAAACTGACTGGTTACAGTCGTTGGAACCAACGAAGAGAAAATATAGACATTTACAAATAGAAAAGAGATACTGTTTCTAAACTCTCAATATATTCTCAACAGTTTTCAAACAACTGTATTCATAAAATGTGTCTAAAAATAACTGTCACAATTCAAAGTTACATAATACATTTTTAGGCCTCATGTTTAATTTCATGATACTGAATCATCTGAATAATTTGACTGTTAAAGTAATCTTGATAAAATAACAATCTACGGTGTGAAATGTTTCCGTTCAGTTTTTATTTCCACTAATTTCACATCATTTAAAAAATCATACTGTTCACTGATGAAATTAAAAACATTATTTAGGCTTATCAATTTTCACTTAATTCATAGGTTTGTTCTATCCATCCGTATACCATGAGTCTTGGTCGATTTTCATGTTTTCTAGTGAATGTTTTGATGTGTGTGTGTGTGTGTGTGTTAATTTCAATGTTTATCTTTCGTTTAATCACACAGTCTATTTAATATTAATCTGATTCCATATCTTTTGGGAAAAGTTTTGCTAAATTAATAACATTAATAGTTAAAATTTATTATTAACCTTGTAAATAATTTATTTATTGGCTAGTAAAACAGACAATAATATTTGGCTAGTTTCATTGAACTACATCAAAATAGAATTTGACATGTACCATCACAACATTGATTCAACTTAAGTTGAATTAATTTCACTTTAATTCTATAAAGTATTATTTTTCAGAGTCTGTAATAATAATAATAATAATAGTTTTACTATTTCTAAGAGACGACTTACATTTAGGGGATCAGCATTTTAGAAACTCAGTAAGATATAATTTAGAAATTCCTATATTAAACAAAATTTATTTCGTCAAACCAAAAGTTATCGTCAAGTAAGTTGAACGTTTTATTCAGTATGTATTCTAGACTGACATACCGACTGATCATTTTACCTTTACTCTACATCACCAGGGGGTAGATACAAACTAGAATGAAACAGCTGTCCAGAGCTCTCTAGTTTTTCAAGGACGCCAAACGAACACTACACCGTAATTTAAATCATAACAAATTAATTCACACTGTGAAGCCTTAAAGGAGCCACCAATTTAAGTGGTGGAATATCAATTTGTACTTTATCGCGGGTAAATGACTGCATGTAATTGGAGAGAACCTCTATGACTAAGTTTGTGCTAATTAGAACAAATCCATTGCGTATTTTTTTTCCGATAAAGTGAATCAAAATATCAATTTATTCAAATATACGGACACGGTGAAACTTGACTAAGCTTGGTTAGCTTCGAGAAACGGACATAATATTTGTCAAAATTAAGTGATTTGACCCTTAAGAGTATAGGAAAATTTTTAGTAATATAAACTCTGCTATTAACTTTTAGCTAGATGGAGAAAAAACTCATATTGATTATTAGTTCAGTTAGGATTCCTCTCACTGAAAATTCCCATCTAACACAAAGACTCAGTCCCATCATTTTGTGTAAGTTGACCTTCAACAAATAATGGCAGGTTGATTCAGTAAATTAAGAATCATTTTCAGTAATGGAATCATCTATGGTAATAATGACGAATTGTTTGTAATCCAGTTTCCGATAATAGGAGTCAGTGAACTTTTTATCACACTATGATTTTTATTATATTATAAAACCCTTATGAAACAGAGCATCAGACAAGTATTTCGTCACAGTTAGGAATTATCAAGCATTGCATTCCACTAATCCATGACCATATTAAATCAATTACTTTGATAAGATTCTGTAAGTAAAATGAATGAACTAGTTGTTTTCATCACTACTTCTTTAAACATTTGAGTAATAAATTTATTCTTCGAAAATTAAAATAGAATAGAATGTGCCCATTTATTACTTAAAGTAAATTATTCAACATAAAAGAGGGAGTCATAATGATAATAATAGTGGTAGTAGTAGTAGTAGTAACAACAAGAAACTACACAGTCTAATAAAGATAAGGGTACTTTGGTTTATGGTTTCTGAATTGAAAATTAGATATTGATGTGTTCAATGAATCAATAATACTGGCGACAACTTTTCGAATGGTAATAACAAGTGTAATTTAATTTTCATAGTGCGAAAATGAGAAGAAGATACATAAGAAGAACAAGTGAATGATAACACATTAACCTTCAATAATGTCAATAAGATAGGAAAGCAATAATTGCATAATTTGTTTTGCTTAGAAGCATTAGGGGATAATAATATTATGTGAATTATTTTTTTTTCAATCATGTCATAAAAATAAAAACTCAGAACGTAAAAGTGAAATTGTGACATCGAAACAAACAAAAAAAATTGATAAAACAGAAATAAACAGAGAATTGAAAAGGAATTTGAAATGACTGTTGGTAATTAGACTGGTGACAATAACAGTGATAGCAGTGAGATTATAATGAATGTTTGTAGAATTATTTATTCAACTGCAACCTCAGGTGCTGGAGCAGCAGCTGCATGTCCTGCACCTTCAGCAGGTCCAGCTATTTGGAAGCCTTCCTCTGTCATAACCAATACATGTGAAGGTGCAATGCGTTGATATTCTTCGGCATAATTAGCACCTGTAAAGACTGTGCGTCGATCTTTAAACGATCTTGGATCTTTCACTCGTTCATATTGACTGTACATTACAACCATAGGCTAAAATATGACGTTATAAATGGGAAAATAAAATAGTATTTGAGTGATCGTGCGGAATAACGATTATTGCTGTGATGCAAATGAATAATATTCAAAACTTACAGGAATACCACTGAATTTAGCTGCCAATGGATCCGGTGCATTTGTGATAGCTTTTGCTTTACCTCTATAAACATTTTACGAAAAAAATATACAACAATGCTTGTCAATATCATAAAAATATAATTCTGACATAAAATACTAGTGACCGCTAAAATTATTGCCTAAATCTATTTTAAATGAAAGTTTATCTTGTGTGCGTGATTAGTTTTTTTCTGTTTAACCCCATAAAAAAAACCTTATTAAAAATAACCAAACTATCTATGGATAACATTTAGTAAAGGAGTTATTGTCACTGAACAATATAAGTAAATTTTAATTTACTTCAAAGTACTCGATTATGAATAGTCGTCATAAGGAAGCACAGAAACTTAGCAAAATGTCAACTAGAAGAATTTACTGGGATAAATAGCTCAAAATAACTTTTGTTATAAATTTAAGTGTTTTCAGAAAAATCGGATATTATCCGCGTAAAATCGATAAAGAATAAAATTATCCCACAACTTCAACGTAATGAATCAATATGGATTTTACAAAAAAGGGATAAGAATAATTTAGCACATATTGTAGATAACTGAAACAATTCCCCCATAGTGATCAATGCTGGTAGGCAGGAAAACTGTCGAAATCTACAGTTGCTTCATACAATTTAAACTGACTGAATTATTGTTATGGAATTGTATGTCAGATTACTTCATCTTACTTAAGAAGGAACACTGAGTATTAGCAATGAAATCAGTCAATTTAACTTGAATTCAGAGTAAGTTAATGCTAGAAATATTTATATGTGAAAATGATAGAGTGCAACTAAACGAAGTATAGCTTACCCTTTATTTATTTGACGTGCACGTTCGGCCAATTCTTGCATCTAAGAAAAGAAGGATAAATTTTATCAACAAAAAATTAGAGTGAAAATATCATCAAGCACAGAAGTTTAGTTTATTTGAATTCACAGTTGTATTCACAAACCATGTTAGTGGAGTAATGCGTTTTTTCAAAACTCTAACATCAACTTTATTTAACAACCATAACCGTACACACTAACATTTCTATTAAAGATAGCCAACATTTTCTCAAATATCATCTACTGCTTCTGATACAAGTTTCAAATAAGGGTTTTTCATCTGATTCCCTCATTTTTTGTTTTTCTTATTGATTAACCAACTGAAAAGATAAACAATTTTCGGTGTTGAAATAATAATTGCAATGATTGGCAAATTACGAGAATTTTCCGTGTTTATTTCCCATCACCTAGCTATGTGAATAACAAATTAATCTTTGATTGAGGTCAAAAAGTCATCCTAATCCAGTTTTGTTTATTGCCAATTTTTTTTTCTAAATGAAGTGCACACAATATACTACACAATCGAAAAGTGCTAATGAACTATACAACATAATGTTCTAGATTCATCAAAAATATTAAAAATAAATTTTCCTATACAATCAACAATAACAACAAATCAAATTACATCATAACTTTGTCTTGTAAAACGTTGAGATAAATCATAAATATCACCCTCTAATCGACAAATTAAATCGTGTAATTCTTTAGCTTTGTTCTTTAATTGATCAGCATTGAAACCGCTAATATTCAATGGTTGTATACGTTGCTCTAAAATTGCACGTTTCTCAGCTTCCAATTGTTCTTTTGACTTGGTCACTTCTTCTTTCTTTTCTTCTTCTCTTTCTTGTGCCTAAAATTGTTGTGAATATTAAAAAATGTAATAATTTATTTGAAAGAATATGATACAGACTAAATTGAATATTGAATAGTTTGTTTAAAATTTATCCGAAAGAATATAATTAGTAGTATGACAGAAATCATGGCATATCTTTTTAATTTGGTGAATAAATATGTTATTTTTCTATCAGAGCACATAAATAAATAATTCCTCAGTTTTAAAACAACTATTTGTATATAAAACTGGAAATTTTTTGTAAAGATTTGTGGTTATCTATAAAAGTATACCATTAAATGTAACAGTAATAGTAATCTGCCTTCAACTAAAAGTACTGGGACTTTTAAGCATGAATGAATAATTCAAATTCATGACTTCAGTGAATAAACTGAATTCCAGTTACTGAGGTTTTTTATTAATTTTTCTCTTACTTATTCATTGTGACAAGATACTAGAGTACCGTTGAAGACATAAAAACCTATTTTGAATTCGTTTAAAAACTGTTCAATATCTCGCTTTGTAGTTGAGACATATTTAGAGTGATCCAAAGAAAATAGTTAGACGCGAAACGGGCAGCCCACGAGATTATGAGACAGTCTATGTAGTCCAGTTTAATGAAATGATCTAATTTGAATAAGCAAGTGTTAGAGTATGCTTATAGTAAGGTGGTCAGTCAGTCATAACATAGAACTTCATAATTAAGTACATCAGTTCAGGTTACCATACCACATAAGCACAGGGAGGCAATTGTCACTTCAAATCAAATAGTGGTAGAGATATTTGAATTGTTAACAGTAATCAAGAAGATTAGTGTTTCAAGATATTATTCAAAATATAGTTCAGTTCGATAACTTTAGGAAGGGAAAGATAGACATGATGATGAATTCAGATTACAATTTGAGAGAACACAATGAATGAATGCACCTGCACCACTGCAAACGATTTTGAGACATGTCGTTCAAGGTCTCTAACCACTGGTGACTTTTGTGTCGCGGGCCCCAACCAGGAAGTCTACATCTACCAACATGACTCAGTCCACTTGTCAGTGACTTCATGGATTGGTTCAATGTTTTTGGTTTGTCTGCCATTAGATTTCTTCCTACCTACTCCTATACCACAAAACATAGGTCCTCGAGACAGTCGGTGGTCGGGCATTCGTAACACATGTCCCAACTACCTCAACTGATGAAGTTTCTATACTTCGTCTATCGATCTTCAATCCTTACCTAGTATTCGCTTCCTAAAGACAGCGTTGGTTACTTGGGTGTCCCACGATACATGAGCAATGCTTCTAAGACATCTATGGTCGAATACTAATAACCTACAAATGTCTTCTTCAAATTAAGTTGGACGGAAATTTAGTTTTAATATCTTGGTTTATATCATTTTGCTAAATGAAACAGATCACACCTTAAAGTATAAAAATATTGCATACTATTAGGAAATTATATTTTGACTTTTAGCATCATTATTATCTCAAACTGTAAGCCCCTCAAACATTTCCTTTAGTTCCATAAAACACAACAAAATAATCAAAATACAAAAGCAAACTTGAAATGACTCAGCTAATTCCCTTATATACTATTTGAGTTAACACAAGTGTAACAGAGAACAAATGTTAGAAAGTTATTACATCTTCACTTATTCTAACACGATAAGATCATCACTAAACTTTGTCATAACAATGCCAAGTCTCATTTGTTCAAATTAAAACACAATACACCTGTATTCAGGGAAGTTTCTTATTGACATAATATTCTGCAATACGTGATGAACTGTTAAGTTTACTTAAAAAAACAAACACCATGTTAAAACGTTTTTTTAGTTTTTAGTCTAGATGGAGTAACAATTTAACAAAATGGTCACTTTCTACTGATTAAGATGATCAATAAGTGTTCAGAGTCAGATATCATGTAACTACAGTCATATTCCTGGCTAAAATATCAATGTCTTAAAGTATGACTAAAGCAGATTAATTACTGAAATAAGGTAATAAATAAATGTAGCACACGCAGTCATAGAGAATGAGATATCAGAATTTTTCGGTAACATGTAATAACCAATGTGACCAGAGATAAATTCGATTAGCCCAAATTAAGGTAATACTTTTCTTCTATTTAATGTAATTGTGAAGCAATCGAAATTACTGCACTGTATTGCAAGATCTTACGTAGACAACATAATATATCACATTTCCCAAGTACTGATTAACATACTCAACCCTCAGTAATATGTTTATAGAAGGGATCGTGATATCATCCGACTGTCTAAAATTAAGTAAATAGGGAAACATTCCAAACATTCACTAACTGACACTCAGCCATCAGCGGATTCAAATTCATACAAACAACCGCGTGACTTACACCTGGTTCCTTCTTTGTAATAACGAAATTAGGTCGATTAGCATTTTTTCGCTCTTCCCATTCTTTCTTTTTACGTTCACGTTCTTCACGTTTACGTTGTTCTTCTTCACGTTTCTTTCTTTGTCGTTCTTCCTGTTCAAACAATCAAGTAAGCATACAGTGAGTGACAAATGTAATATTCAGCTTTTTTTACACAATAAAAGATTACAAAACCCAGATAAGCCATTTTCTTCATGTCATAGTTAAAATTTTAAAATCCTTTATCCTTGAAACTAGGTTAGAAAAAAAAACGAATAAACTAATAAATTACTTGATATTTATCTATTGTTTCTCAATGATGATGGTAATACTGATGTTTATTATTACTATTCTGTAAAATACAAAATTGATTACCTGCTTTCCTTCCTTATTTTTTTACGATCATCAATTGTTCAGCCTATTTTAGGGAAATCTATTTTTATTTCTATCTGTCTTATTTTGTATTCAGCTAGATGGAGAAATGTGTATGCATATATAATATAGGCACAGAAATTGTACAGGTCAAGTTCATATGAGTGTCATTTTTCATTGAAATGGTATTTGTGTACATGCGTGTATTTGTTTGCGCAGGTAGATATCTCCGTATATTATTGTTTGTGTATGTCCTTGTTTAGTTTCAAATCATCATCCTCTCTTACATATCACAAATTAAATCTTTTTGAAACAACTATCATCCCCTAAATCCTTTTTCTTACATTTTTCAAACGTAAACTGAATTGCATTTATCATTTTGATTTATATCCATGATCTGTACATGTTAAGTCTATTGTAGAATTTTTTTGATGAAAATAAAACCCTTTTTTGCTTTTGGGATATTTTTATACTGTCTTTAAGTAAAATATATTTGAACTTTAAACTGAACATTTAACATAGTGCAAAATGTTACAACATTGTTGATATTCGTTGTTGTAATAATAATAATAATAGTCTTAATAATAAACCCCTGTAAGGTGTCAGTAATTTTAAACTCATAGAAATGAAGAGATAAAACATTGTAAAATAGACTACATTAATTTTATTGATGTACTAAGTGCAAAGATGCTTCCTCTAAATTGATAAATAAGAAAAATGTCATACTTTAACACGTAGCTTTTGAAAACAAACAAATAGAAAATCAAAAGTATGCTTTTAAGGATAAACTCTACTTGATTAACAACACCTAAGTCTAATCCTTTACATCCCCTAGTATGAACATGCGTTCATTAACTACATGAAGTAGTAAGATTCCTAATTTAATTCTAGGCTACCGGTAGATGAAGTAAAAATTTTCCCACCCCACGTTTTGATCCCATGCTTCAAAGGAGTCAATACAAATTTGTTGGGAAAATTATCTTCCTTAGTAAATTAACAGAAATCGTTTGATAAGCTATTTATTGATTTAAACTACACATCCAGTTGATGAGTTTCAAAAGCATCAAAAATCCTTATTGTGGGTTCCATTTCTGGTTACAACCCTGTTTTACTAATGATCATATTCTTTTAAAATAATATTTCTTCACAGTCATAATTCAGACTTTATTTCTGTAATACTCTGTTAGTCAGTGAGCTATCAAGTTTTTGGACTAGCAAATTATAGTTGTAATCACTTGTGTATTACTTTTGAAAAACCTTTCTGATAATTATATGACATCCACTTAATCGTATTACCAAGATATAAATGGAATACCCACATAAGTGATCATTTGTCTCGCATTACGTTTCACCGACATAGTGAATACTAATGAAAGTTTTGAAACTAACGAATTTTACAATAACCAAAGTCAATAATCAAACCACCCTATTAATTGACATTAGGTATCAATATCAATGTTGGACTTGATAGATTCAAAGAAATTGAGCATTAGGTAGAAAGTTCATTTTATTCGAATTAGTAGAAAATTGTGCTATTGACGTTTCTCAACTTAATGTTAGTCACTATTTCAAAGTAAATAAATTGTTAACCGAAATAAATTAACAAGATTATTCAAACTTGTGTTAATTTATTGCGGTTATTTATTTATTTACGCTGACGAAGTGACTTACAGTAAATCACGAAATGTCCAAAAATTCTGATTATTTTATCACTATTGACTTTAGTTTTGTTATTATAATCTTCATTTAGTTATTTCGGCAATATAAACACACCCATTTAGAAAGTGAACAGTTAGTAAACAAGACAACTACTTGTATACATTCATACTAAACCATAATCGATTGAAAAATAATAGGAGAGTTAAACTAATAGTAAAGTATGACTAAAGCTGGAAGTACGAAACATTTCAAGTTTGACTAATGATCAGGTTAAGATTCACAATTTTATTGATAGAAAAAAATCAATGAGAACATGTTACTTAGAAGTAGGTTTTTACATTTTTCATGAACTGATTTTCATTGTGTAGCATGTGATATACGATTGTTTATCTACTAAATTCTAATTTACGAAAATAATTAGTCTGTGAGAGTGAACAGCAAATCTTAACATACAGCAATGAATTAGACAATAGTTAAATATGATAAACTTTACTTCTTCGGCTCGTCTTTTCTGATCTTCAATTTGACGTAATTCAGCCAATCGTTTTTCTTCTTCTTCACGTTCCATTTTACGTCGTTCCTTTAAATAGAATTTGTGTGTAAGAAATTTCAAAATTATTTTTCAGTAACAGTTCAAAATTATTATATATGAATGTACTTCAATGAATTTCATAAAGTAATCGGTATACTTTTGTTTAGTAGTATGAATAATGCAAGCTAAACCATAACATGATCTGTGTAGATAACTTGATCATCGAATTTGAGCGAGTGAGTGGTAGTTTAAAAAGTGCAAATAAAATGTGAATGTTTTCAAATATTAGTTTCAGTCTGGTCTAATGGATTTCACTACTAATTGTTGTATCCCAACAATCACCTTCGAATAACAAATGTAGTTGTTTACTACCTACATATATGTGTTGAAATAGACACCGTTTTGTCTTTAATATTTATATTTAATATAAATGGAGCTTATCTGATGACATGACTAGATGTAAATTTGCTAACAGGCCAATCGTCATTCTTTTTCATAAAAACTGTTTCACCAATTTATGCAAATATTTTTTCGATTCAATCAATTTAATAATGAACCTTAATAAGAAACATTTTGGTGCTTAGTATTCAATCCTGGTTATTTTCCCTATACTTTATAGATTCGCACTGAATCATACACTAGTAAGTGCTCATATACTATGTGGAATCTACAGCATGATGTCATGTGATTATCTCCATTGTTAATTGCTTTATTCATGACAATATTATTTTTCAATGATCAAATTTTCATTGAAACATTCTAATTTATAGTATTCATTGTTAAATCTGACCCCTTATCATCCGAACTCACTGCACTAGAACAAACTCAAAACAAATTAGAAGCTGTGTAGTTGATTCTAATTTCGATACATTTTATGACATAAATGAAACAACAAATAATAGTTTAACATGTAAAACAGTGGATATCAACTGAGCATTCTAAATATTTAAGTTAACATGACCTAAACCTCCTAAGTTTGATTGACTGTGCGATTGTCAATCGTTCTGTTTCGTAGGAAGTAACAGTTGTTCAGTTGTATCTGATTTTTATTAGTTATCTAACTGGGGTCAGTGTAAATGTCAATTCTCTTAAACTCAGTGACTTCATGTACTGAAGAAAAATGAACATACTCTACGTTCTCTTAATTGACGAATCTCTTCTTCTTCTTTTTCACGTTCTCCTCTACGAAACTCTTCATATTCTCGCCATTCCTCTTCAGCTCTTTCTTTTCTACGTTTGGCTTCCATCTAGAAAAACAAACAGATGAGTAATTGATATTGTCTTTAGGGAAAAAATTTATAACTTACTTCCATACGAATTTTTGCTTCAGATTTTCCATCCTCACTAAAATATAAAAAAGAAATTAAAAAGCCATAAGTTGATAACTTCTGAAAAAATATGAGTTCGAATATTATCAACTTTGAATATAAGGAACTGGTTCTATATACTGTTTGCTAATAAACTTATTTCATCAAACGATTCATGCCTAAGATACATGGTGTATTTACAAAACTAATAATTATATTTATGTATGTATATTTCTTAATTCAAATGTGAATTTTATTAACAGTCAATGTATTGTTTAAGATGGAAATGGTGTAGATGAGCCTGTAGTAATTACGCTTGAAATACCGTGGCATAAGTTAGTTACACCTGTAGCATTTTCCGGTAATACTGCATGCACTAGATGTAAGAGCTGATAGAAATAGTTCCGATTTTTTCACAGAAGAACAAATGGAATGAAAACGTCACATTTCGAAGTCATAGAGGAAAAATCATTCTACAAATCAAAGAACAAACCTTTTGTGAATAACATCTATCAGCACCATGATATACTTGAAGACATTCGAGATTATTTTATGATCGACTCATTATCAATAATATATATTAGAAATTAACGATGAGCGTAAAAGTACATTTTCTAGAAGAGGAAGAAACCAGGAAGAAGCGCTGGATGTGAATAGGACACACATTGAGAAAAGCACCCAACTATGTCACAAGATAAGCCCTCACTCAAAATCCTCAAGCCCAAAGGAAGGGAGGAAGACGGACAAACGGAGACAAAAATGAAAAGAATGGACCTAAATTGGACAGAACTGTAAAGGAAGGCCTAAGACAGTGTTGGCTGGAGAATGCTGATCGGCGGCCTATGCTCTACTGGGGCTAATAAGCGTAAATAATTAATTAACAGTAGCTACTTTTCAATCAGACTTGATCGGTTTTCAACTAAAGAATTCCCATTGGATTTTGTGAACTACTACTGTAAAAGTATTTCTTTCCGTTTGATGGATTCAAATTTCAATGGATAATCATTACGAATAGATGTTATTCCCCAGCGAATCAAACAACAACCTGATTACCTAATTAAGTATAAAGTCTAAAATTCATTGAGATTCACTTTTGAAAATAATCAAAACAAAAATGTCAACGAATAACAATTCTTCAGCTTTAATTAAAATAATCAATTTTTATTTTCTAATTATTACTAGAAAATCTCATATGGAAACTTTTAACATTAAGTCAGTGAGCTCATGAAAACTCTCAATAACGAGTAAATATTAGTTAACAGTAGTAGTATTTTTTATGAGTTACATAATTATTTACTTCCAAAATAAATATATTACATTTTGTCTCTGAATTAACCATAATCTCATGCAACATGCTATTCAATTCAATTTGTCAAAAGAAGCCATCTCAGATTTTGAATTTTGAAAAAAAGGATTGTTAGTATCTTTTTTATTGAGAGGGAATAGCATTTGGTTAGCAAATGAAAAAAACACCTTGTTAAAACTACGTAAGTATTAAACAATGAATAAAATAGTTAAGCGAAGAAAAATGTAAACTAGAATGCTGCGAAGAAATGTTTTCATGATGTTCTACATTGAATTGTTTTTTGAATGAAGCATACTTTCGTTACCATCGTTAGAAAAAAGTATAAACAGTTAAGCGAATAAATTGTGGAGATATATTCAATATGGAACCTGGCACAATTGTATACTGATCCGAGATATCAACTTTTATACCAATTAGAGTGAAGGGGAAACTACTAAATGGCAAAATAATTTCTAGAATAATCTGGAACAGTACTATTGGTGATCAATAATGTATGCTATCTATATAGTTGACTAAAGTTGTCGTAAATACATTGATAAGACAGCTTGAACGTCATTGGTTCACTAAGGTGTTAGGTACCTGTGTGGTTGCTCCATGGGACTGTGACGAACTGTCCACACTAAAATGTTAACATGTGAGCAGTCTCCTTGGTTTTCCTGAAAACCAATATGATATTAACTTTGCCAAATCAGGATTAATTTGTAATTGCTGAACCTTATCTCATGGATGAAATTAAGAATCGATGACATTATTAAGCAACATTTGTCTTAACTCCATTCAATACAATACAGTTTATCAGCAGAAATGATGGTTGAACATAAGTAAAATGAAATATAGTTTAGCCTAGGATCAATTTCAGTGCTTACATTTGAAATAGTATCTCTATTTGCCTAAATATTAAATGGTATAGCTATCATTTTCTGAATTTCATTCAAAATTAGGCAATAATTTCATATTTATTCAATATCATTTAAAGGTCGCTAAGCGTGAAAATCCATTTCTGTGATACTTCTATAGTACATTACCTTAAAACTATGTGTACCTCAAACAAAAAGATCAATATCAACTCGAAAGGCTTATTGAGAATGAATGAAAGAGGTATAGAAACATTTCATTTTAACAATTGTCTAACTCTTAACTATCATTTAAGCAGACTGACTTCGACTTGAAGTCAGAAAATACATCATGCAGTGATTTCTCCTTTAAATGGGAACATGCATTAAAACAGACACATGTTGGTGTAAGTAAAGAATCAGGATATTGTCAACTGAAAGATGTATTTTATTTCTTTGAACTGTTCAAATACACGTATAGCTAATAACAGTTGGAAAATTAATATCAGCGATATAGGAAGATGTCATCAACTGAGAAGCAGTATATTAACGTGCATTAGAGAGATTCTTAATGGATATATGTATATATATATATGTTTATTCGGGGATTATACATATATGTAGGCAGCGATAGAGAGTATATACAGATATAGTTATATATCTCTCCTATTTCAAGTATTCGTTGCAACAAATCAACATTCGAAATGCTTTTGTACGGTAAGAATAATTATGAACTTACTGCTCTTCATCTCTACATGCCGACAATTATAACGAGTTCATTTGAGAGCGGAGAAGGAGGAGGAGGAGGAATTAAAATGGAATGATGCATTTAAACAAACATTCAAACATAAATAATAATCATTTTATATACATATATATATATGCATTTGTCAAAGAAATTATTTCGTATCAAGTGCGAATTTTTTTTTCAAGGGTACAATGATCAATACAATAATTCAATTATGTTTAATGATGAAATGGAACAAATAAGGAAAACAAGACAGGAAATTTTTACCAAATGAAATTACACCATCACAATGATTAAAAACATTTGGGGGAAGTTTTAACACTACACAACAGGAAACAAGTTGTAATAAACCCATCTTCCATGTTGGAGAGATGGAAATTCTTTGGAATCTTTATCAATTGTTTATATAATTAATTCATTTATCATGAAGAAATGAATGAGTTCTCAATTTCTGTGTTAAGAATTTCTGAAATTCACTTAACTTGAGAACTGAATGATGCTAAAAACTTTCAAAATATTACCAAACTACTTCCAACAACCCAGGCCGAAATCTCTAATTGCTGTTAGTTATTTGATAACTCATTACAAAATCAAATTCGGCGATTCCTATACAAATGGCCAGACGTATTACATAACATTATTGAACAGAAATTAATGTTTTTTTTCTATTGGAGTTATGGAGAGTAGTGTTTTTTGCACATTGAAATCATCGATCAATCTTTGTTAGACCACCATTAGAAACCTGGAAGCACTGGACGGCCTTTTCACCCTGGTATGGGACTCATCAGCAGTGAGCAAAATTAACTCCTAAGAAACCTTCTGATGAATAATGTCAAGACAAAATTTAGCAAAGAAAATCATCTTTTTTCGTAACACTATTGTTTCCTCAAGTTATAACATGCATTCATAATAACACATAGTAGTCTACTATTGTGCAGCTAAATTGTCGAAACGAAGAATTTGTTCACATAAATATGTGAATATAAATATGTAATCATCGATGAGATCCAAGAAGTGCATTTCGTCCTCTTCGGGACTCAGCAGTGCCTGTATCTCACAGTTGATGCCCACTTCTGGACTCGAACCCAGTGACATTCGCCTTAAACGCTATCAGATTGTCAATGTAGCTACTAAGTCCAGGTAGCCACTCATTTGTGCAACGGGTATGAGATTTAATTCAATTCAATAACAGGATAAAGCGATAGCATTCGAAGCGACGGTACTGAGTCTGAGTCATCGTTCTGTAAAGACATCCGATATCTTTTCTAAAAATTCTAGTTACTAGTATAACATAGAGCATCAGTGAAGCATCAATCTAATTCTTATCACTTAAAAAAAATGCAAAACATATAACACTAATCCAATGAAGTTGCTATAGACTAGTAACTGTTTATGAAGCTAATACAGTTCAAAATAAGTTTGCTAGTATATCACTTAAACAACCTAATCGTATATATGCGATCGATGATTCATACGTTCATCAATCATAATCATCATCTCTTCATGGTACGATTTTCGTTATCACGAAATCGAAAATCTGCTTAAACAACAAAATAATGGTATAAATCTCAATTCAATAAAGCAGTGAAAACTATAATACTATAGACGTGGTATTTTCAAATAAGTGAATTACTTTCCGAAAGGTATTGATCGATTTTAGTCATGGTGTTGAAGATAAATTATTGATTTTTGTGTGAGCATACAAAGGTCCAGTGATACCACAGGACAGGATTATTCACTAACTTATGACAGGAGACTTTCTTCAATAAAATATGAATCTGTACAACTGGCATTTCACATCACCAATAAATATTTTTTTTCTAATAAACTTTTTTCAATACTGAACATAAAATCTTTAAACACAAAGTCAAGGTATTTTCATGTCAAACAGGCATGCTTTAATAATGAAGTGTTGTTTTAAAATGGGGAGAAAAAGAGATATTGTTTTCAGGGTGTTGCAGGGCTTAAAAAAGAAAAATACAGAACCTAACATGAATATTTAATTATACAATAATCAAAATAGCACATCTTTTCTTTTTGTAGGCAGACATTCATCGAACAAATGTTGTTCAGCACCACATGTAATATGTACAAACATACATACACGCATTCATAATTTGTTCATTGAATGGGAAGTAAAATAAAGAAGAGGTGGGATAGATAGTGTAGATAGATAGATGATGAAAATTCACTATGCAACGTACTTGGGAATAAATGCTGGAGATGGTTGTGGGCTAATGATAATAACAATAATAATAATAAAAGTAAATTGATCATGAACAGTTGTTAACTAGTAGTGTGACATCGATTTAACATAATTTTGTTTATTAATAAACATTGATGTTAAAAATGAATACACAGTAAACATTATCGAAGAAAGCGCAAATCAATTGATCGCTTGCTTAGTTTTTGAACATACTAGTAAGTAGAAACACTAAGTAATCATGGGATAATTGTAAAATAGCTGATATTCCTTACAAGTTAAAAACCTATTTCAATTAACATAACGATCATTGATAATATCTCATTCGATGGCAGCTGATCAGTAGAATGACCTGACACTTGGTCATTGGTTACTGCTAACTGATTATATCAAATAAAAGCTTAATTGTGAGAAGGAGGCATGCACTCTTAGGTTGATTCTTGTGCCTTATAGTTAAGATAAGATCGATAAGATTCATACACATGACAAGTGTCAGAAATCAACAAATTGATTACTAAATCGATTCTAAAGCTGATTTTCAGTAGGTTGAGAAAGCTTTCAAACAGTTTATTTCTTGAAGTTTCTGCTTATTAAAGTTTACTTATTCTAATCAGTTGCAACTTCAATAGTGCTTGAAACAAATCAAGGAACGTTGGACATAGGTTGTATTCTATTATCGACAGAAAATCTAACAATATTTTGTCTTGGTTATGATTAATCCGGTAACATATTGATCCCATCATGTTAATCGGTTACTAATATCAACTAAGTTAATTATGTTGCGTAAATGAGTACAAGTACAGATTTATGATGTTTAGACTTTAAGTAAATATGCAACGAAGTACAATGAATATAGTGTTTGGTCCTGCACTTAGATATGATACTTGCTAGACTCATTAACATCTTGACAAAGAGTTGTTCCCTGAAAAAAACTGGTTCCCTTTAACTAGTACATATTTCTAAATATTAAAGAGATCATTATCCAACTAATAAGTTAATGAGAAGAAACAATCTAAATTTTACGCGAAATTTTACAGAGAATTAGTATCTACCAATTTTTTCGCTTTCAATTTGATGATATCTACCATCTGTGACTGTGTACTAAAAACTTCCCTAATGGACAACATCAAAATCATTTCTGATTATTATTCAATAATTTTGAAAACTTTTCTTTTCTGAATCAGATTTATCCAGGTTCTGTATTTAATTTTATACTAATCTTAAAGATGGTAACATAATATTCAATCAGCTTTTACAAAATTCTATTAACCATTGAGTGTAGTTATCAGTAATTTACTCTTTAGCCTAGATAAAATCGTATTAGATAGTGTTATATCGTTAAATCTAGTCTCAAGCATATGAAGTAAATGGCTCAGTAATCTATCGCCTACTTTCATCGTTATGATTTTACTGACAATTGAGTTTTGAGTGGTTGTACACATATCAATCTCATATTTAACATGAGATTCAATATATTTTTACTGAATGACATTTCAGACCACAATATCTGTCTTATCTGTCTTCAAGAGGTGAACTTGAATTATATGAAACAATGTTGATTAGTTTCACTTCAGTATGAAACTCCATGTTATGTTAGTATTCAGTGTAGAACCGAAATCTTAATTATGAAACTATACCGACAGATAAACTTTATAACATCTAAGAGGTTAGTTTCCTTTGTAGTATCATATAAATGAATAGGGTTATTTTATAAATTAAAGAAAGTAAAAACAATTTGCAGTAAATTTAATTTTCATTTTTATTTGTTAACTTACCTCTGTTCATCGTCTGACATTTTGTAAGTCTAAATTAAACTTGTATTTAAAATATCGAAAATTTCTTCACAGAAAAAAAAAGATTCTGTAAGAGAAGAAAATATGACATTTATTAACATTTAGAAATTTAAAACAAACTACTGATCTTTATTAACTAATGAATAGTTCAAACATCATCTGATCAAGAAATTGACTTAAACGCCTTCTTTTCATCTTACACCCACAATGAATTGCTTACTTTTAACTACTAATTACTATTCGATTATTGCATAACAACTAACAACTAAATATTCATTGCAGTTTTAAGCGCCTTTTTTTAAAAGTTTATCAAGATTTACTTCATTATGTAAGTAAGATTAAATAGTGAATAATCAAACCCAGTTACAGAGAATGTAATTCCTAGTAATTCACTAAATATATATAAATATCAAGATCACAAGTAATGTGAATTTGTCCTGCCAATGCATTAGATAGAATCATGTAATACTTACTAATGAAAAAATAAATATGGCTTCACAACCAACCTATAATGACTAGTAGATTTACCAATGTAACCTACATTGTCAGTCCAAAAAGCTAATATAACAACCAATGCAAGTTATTCGGATGCTTGTAGTGATATCATAGTTTCACACTGAAGCAACCTTCCTTATTGTGTCAGATAACCAATAAACTAGTCATTATGAACTTCTCAATAAAACAAGATAATAGACCATTATTATACAATATATCTTTCTTTGAAATGTATTTCAAAAAAGTTGCTTGACTAGAGAAACAAAAGCTTTCTTTTGGCTTGTGGAACACAAGACTACTACTATATCATAAGATAGAAATTCAACTCAAGTATCTTATAAGTAACAAAATTTTGGTAAGTACTAAACCCCAAATAAATGTTTCTATGAATCAGTTATCATGTAATCCGTCATTTGAGTTGACTGAATCGTTTTCACATAACCTTAACCTCATCAAAATTCAGTGATACTAAGAATTACAGATTCATACTTCTTTCCCAAAACAGAGTTACCTAAGGCAAAACAGTAATATCTATTGTCTTGATCGGTAGCATGCATTTAGTCGAAATATAAGTAGTGACCATTTAATAACTAGATTTACGGTAAATAAAATGTTAAGGCAGAATAAAAAACTTTGCTAGAATAAGTATAGGACAATAACATCTTCTATACTAAAAAAGTAATTGTGAATACAAGACCTGTTAAAACTTAAGTGCTGTTGTATACATATTTTTTTCTATAGTTTGAAACACTCTTCAACACTATTCATCATTGCATCATGATATGTGACTGAGATCTTGACTAATTAGTTCATGACTAATTTAGAAAATGCGGTACTCAGACCGATAATTGAGATGTCTCGTTTATTTATTGACTGAGATTATTTAATTGGTAGTCAGTCAGTCAGTTGCAACGTAGAACTTCGTACGTAAATACATCAGTTCATGTTGCCATACCACATTAGCACAGAGACGCAATTGTCAATTCAAATCCCATAGTGGTAGAGAGAGTAGAAGTTCTTCTGGTAAAGGAGAAGATTAGGGTTCCAAGATAATATTCAAAATATAGTTCAGTGAAATAACTTTAGAAGGAATCCAGAAGATTAGAATTTGAGAGAACACAAAAAGTGGATTAATTGGTAGTAGTCACATAAAAAATCATTACACAATCAACACTTACCCAGTAATCTTTGTACAACTAAATTTATCGAAATATGAATGTGATATAAAATATTTATGTAAAGATTAGAAATATAGACAGTTCTTGATTCTTGTTTTCGATACTATTTCACTGAATTTACACCACACAGAAATTATTACAGTAACATATACAAGTAACCAATTACGGTCATTTATCCCATAACACCTACATAACAGTAACATAAGTACATTCCTAACTATCTATCTAGCAACCTATATATATCTTTATGTATCTTTCTGTCTTTCTCGGTGCATAAATGATGAATGTTAAATCGATCGAAAAGTAAAGTGAAAATCCCAGCTATAGTTAACCTACAGTTAATTTTCCTTACTTCTTTACATTGCTAATAACATGTTGCATTTTTGTGCTAATCAATAGATATATGTGTGTTCATACTAGAAACATCCTCCCACCCTGCATATATATATATATATATATATATATATATATATATGCATATATATATATATATATAACAGATCTGTAGGAATGAATATTTATTGACTTATTATTGATCTTTTTTTGTATAATAGTGACCTATGTGAGGAAAAATAACCTATAAATTTTATGTAAGAGAAGGGAAGGTTTTAGTGCAGGATATTTATGATATTTTGATTTAAATATGGCTTATTGTCACACTGTTCAGTGTGTTCACCAACTTTAGAAAATAATACAGTGTAAAATTATGCAAGTCAGACAGGGAGAGATAAAACCTTAAAAAAGAAAACGAATCCCTAACGTAATACAAGCGTAACTACAAACAACATTTCATAATACTAAACACTCTAAACTACAATATAAGTAGAATAATTTTATTTATCCAAATATAATATTCAATGTTTGAAAATAAGAGTTCTGTAACTGTATTAAATAAAACCTCGCAAGTTACTAGGAGTTACTAGGAACGGAATATCTGATTTATAAAAATTCACAAGAAAAAAACATAGGCACTTAAATGTAAACAAAGAGTGAAATAATTCTATTAATATTGGTTGAGAATATTAGAAAACTCGCTTACAGTTCAATAACAGATTAAGGTAGAAATCAAAACATGAATGGCTAGCATATGATTCTCTTTACTTCATTAAAAATGATAATTTAGTCAAGACTTACGATGAAAAATGACGTTCAAAAATTATAACCAATCACTTCTTGTATACTAACATGAAATTGTTTAACAGCCTGTGAAAAAAATATAAATTCTAAAGAGAGTCATTAACATTGCTCTGATTTAGTATGTAAGCATATCAGGATAGAATTCCAACTTACTGAAACTGTACTTTAAGTAAGTAAAAATCTGGATACCATCAAAGCATACTAATAAAAACTTGATTTTTGAGTGAAATTAAATGAGAAGACAGCATGTTACGTGTACTACTTTTGAAGGAAAGTTCTACAATTATCTTGTTCATCATGTACAGTAACTGATAACTTTATGAATGAAAGTTTAGGCCAAGAGATGAACAAGTAAGATTCGTAATCTTCAGCAAATATACGAGTATATATGTTAGTAGTTACTGTCTTGAAAAGTATGTTAAATTGTTGCTATTGTAATAAATAAACTCCCCAAAACAAATATTTCTAGAAATATTTGACCTTGATCCTAATTTCATAATTTTTAATGGAAACTACCAGACGAAAACACTTGATCAAGCTTCATGGCTAAATCCTTGCACAGTCCGATATTAGCCTCCTCTCTTTTCATAGTTAGTTAGTTAGCTACTTAGTTAGTTAATCAATTATTCAGTTAGAAAGTTTCACATTCCTCTAATTCTCTAAACGTTCACACATACTTTTCGTCAGACTATTATTAGATTCTTCTGTGTATGTCGTCGAGGTAATAACTTTAAGATACTGGGAAACCAGTAGTATTCGATACCGTTATATTTAGGGTGTCTTAACTTGCAAATTAGTCTTAAACAGAACATTCAAGAAAAGAGAATTTCATTCACAATAAAAATAGTTGTAACTTGCACCCTGACCCTCGTTAAGTTTAGAAAATTGTATTAAAAAAAGATTGTTACTGATTCTATTAAATATCCTAAACGCTTATATTCGTAGGTAAATCAAAGGACTAAGAGTCAAGGTAGTACCCCAGCATTATGTGGGACAGGAGTGCTACATCACCGGTGAAAGACGATTACAGTAAAGATAAGATAGTCGCAAACTACTTGTCAAAGCGTGGTATCGTACAGATGTGCATCCCTTCGGTTCATACAAACCTCTCTAAATACTTTCTGGATACTAGGACCATTAAAGAACTCGATGTGTTTAGTTTGTAAAACAAGCTTGATACAAGTAAGTCTATGGGATCCGATTAATTGCATCCCACATTACTTAAAGAACTAGCAAATTTTATCTCAAATCCTAATCTGTCTGTAACCGAAGGCAGATTACCAAAAGACTGGAAAAACGACATAGTACGTCACATCTTCCAAAACAGGTACGTGACAAAAATCTAAGAAATATCGACCCAAAAGCCTAACCAGTGTGGCTGTTAAAATTTTGAAGAAGAAAGAGCTGCTTAGGTATCTAGGCGAAAACCGGATTTTTTCTGAAAAGCAACTTGGTTTTAGAACAGATTTTTCCTGTTCCGTGAAAGCTGATGCGCTCTTAAGGATCAAAATTTGCTTACAGATGTAGCCTTAATTGAGTTCAGTAAGGACTTTGACAAAAACCCTCACAACCGACTATTATCTAATTTAAGTGATATCGGGATTGAAGGTAACTGATTTCCTTGTTGGCAGTCAACATAACTATATCCATAAACAGAGAATAATGTTGAGCTACCTGTTATCCAGACATATAATGACCAAGGAGTCATCATTGTCCAAGACTTGAATACTACTTCACATGGACATGTGATAGCTGTCAAAGGTCTTGGAACCCTATGATCAGTGCTTAAAGCCTTTAGTTATGTCGAAACTAAAACCTTTATTGACTTTGTATTGAATAACAGTAGTGGCTCTATTCAATATTATGTGTTTAGTACAATATAGAACGGAACATTTCAACAAGTTTTCAGTACAAATCCAACAGAATAACAAATGATAAATGAATACATCTACATAACAAAAATAAAATAAACAAACTACCTAGATTTTAAATAAAATGTCTTTTTATTATATGGTAAGAATCTATACAATTTTCAGTCGGGAATATGTTTAGGAATGTAAGTTTTTGACTACGTCAATTCTTACTAACTGTTCTTTGGATAGTTCATTTACTTAATAAGGTGTCGTACAGTTTTTACACTTTTGTTTGCCAATGTGGATTCTAATGTACTGGTGTTTTGTCCTGTCAGAAGATATACAGAAAGAATAATGTGAATAGAGTGGATGGTTAGTATCAGTGAACATAATATTTTCCAGGAGTTTGAAAACAAGCATCCAGCTCTTGCTCGGAAAAAAGACAGTGGGCTATTAAAAGAGGTTAATAGAACCGAAACTAACCTGATTCCTAGAATCGCAAAGCCACCGTATGACGAGAGACTGACTAAATTAAACCTATTTCCTGTATTATATGGAAGAACCAGAGAGGAATCAATCACAATTTTTAGATTACCTAATGATAAATTTGCACCAGAGGTGCCCTCTTGTTATGCCTTACAAAGCAGGGGATTTACGATGACACTCCTAAATGCTCATAAGTTCAGAACAAATTACTTGCCTACTGACTGTCGAGTTTCCCATCAAATCATCAGTGAGTGGGACTTATTTACTCAACACGTAATTGAAGATCCACCTGTCAGTGCACCCAAAAAATGTTTGAGCAACTGAGAGGTGACCGCTGCCACAACTAACACAGGCCTTTTCAAACCGAAACTGAAATCGAAATCAACTACGTAAATAGTCAGATAGTAACTCAGTTTATATATAGTATGGATTATATAACACTATAAATCGACAGACGTTAAAAATATCAACACCTGGCTTAAAGGTTTCGTATTTGCTAGAAGAGCTAAGACTTCCCGCTTAACCTTTTCTAGAAGCATAAATGCTCTTAGCTATTGAGTTGTAATTTAAAACCAAACAATTGTCTGATACTCCATGTCTTTCTGCAGTTTTCGAACTGGTAACAATTTCTGATTAACATCCACAAATTATGAAACCTAATACTAAAGGTATTTGTCAACTTAAACTACATATTCATTTGATATGTACTGATTTAACAGTTAAAACATACAACAGGGATTTACTAAAAGTTTAATGAAACTGCGATTGACTATAACTACACTCGAATAGAAGTTCATATTCTTTCTGTTTGCAAAAACCAAACGAAAAGCATCTTCTTTCACCTGTTGACCAATCAATGTAAGAAGTTAAACATGACCGAAATCTAGTCACTACTAAAAAGTTGACACTTTTAACTAACTATTTTCTAGCAGTAGGTCACGCGACCCAAATCAATAATTCCTATTTTTCGTATTAGATGGTCAAGTGAACAAATGACAGTTTCACTTAAAAAGAAATTGTATATTGTTTCAAACATAACATAGGCCGATGAAAAACAAATTAAATAATATATAGTCATTGAAAAAACTGATTATCTGTAGATTTATTGCAACTCGATGTATTCGTTCGAAAATGGAAATGGAAATCATTTCATTGTACAATAGTCAGAAAAAAGTAGTTTGTTTTGTTGAAGTAAATTATAACTGAGATTCTCTATTACATTTGATGAATATTCATAAGAAGACAATTGAAAATTTGGTATTTAGCAGAACATACTTTTAACTATAAATACTTTGGACGATGTGGAAACGTTTACATGTCTGGGCAGCATCATTGATAAACAGATTGAATTTGACCCAGATGTAAAGACACGGATTGACAAAGCAAGGGCAGTATTTTTACAATTGAAGAACTCAAAACAACTAACTACCTGTCAACCGACACTAAACTCAGAATCCTCATTATTAGGTCATGAAGGTTCTATAATATGTAGCCGAAACTTGAATAACTACAAAACCACTTATCCAAAAGATACAGTTATATACGCAAGATACTTTGGATCCATTGTTAATACACCGTCAGTAGTAACCTGCTGTGAGAGAGAACAGACCAGATTCTAAATGAAGAAAAACTTAGGGAAAAGCGTTGGAGGTCGATAAGACACACACTGAGGAAATCATCCAACTGCATCACAAAACAAGCCCTCAGTCGAAACCGGAAGGAAATTAGGAACCACGGGGAATCTCAGACAGACATAAAAAGAACGAATAGCAATTAAATAGAAACTAGTAAAGAAGGCCCAGGACAGACTTGATTGGAGAATACTGGTCGATGGCCTCTGCTCCA